GCCGTAGATGTTTTCACAGCCCCACCTGGGCTTGCCCAGACCCCCAGCGGTGATGCTGCCTGGGGTGGCCAGCCCCTCACCTGCCCTGGGCCGGGGCCCTGCCCGCTGGCCCCTCTGTAGTGGCTGGGCCTGCCCTCCACAAACTTGGGTGCTGGGCCAGGCACAGGGGTCTGAAGGACAGAGAGGAGGGGGGAGGGGAGGACAGGCACCCCCAAAAGCTGGGCAGGGCAATAAGGAGGTGGCCCCTCGACTCCCTACCGTGAGGGTCCGGGATACCCGGGCGCAGGGGGCCAGGCCGGACGGAGCTGACAACGTGGTCAATGCTGGTCCGGAGTCTCAGGCCGGCCCCACAGCGCCCCCTGTAGGCCGCCTGCGCTCAACGGCTCCCAGGCGGCCACGACAGCCTGGGTCGGGGCCTGGGGGCGTCGTGGCACCTAGGGGTCAGGAGAGCCGGGCCAGGGGAGCACAGGGGGCCTGGGATCTGGGGCTGGGAGCCAGGGCCGGGAAGTGAATACCTGTCCCCACACGCCCAGCCCCACAGGTGTGCCATCCATCTCGCGGACACGGCCCAGCGCAGTCCCAGAGAGCCTCAGCTGGATCAGGGCGCCCCTGCTCTGACCTCGTGCAGCCCGGCTGCTTCCCAGCATGCTCTCCCTCCCGAGTGGCCCTGGCTCTGCTGGGCCATCCCCTCTGGGACCCCCTGTAGGATGAGCCCGGCACACCCAGGACGGCCCAAGGGGCCAGTGGGGGGGCTCTGGGTTTGCATGCCCGGGTCACACAGGCACACACGGGCACAGATGCCACCCGTGGCTCCTTCCCAGAGGGCGGGGTGGCTGGCCTGAGGAAGACCTTCTGCGCCCCTGCCTGGCTGTGCCGCAGCCCTATTTGCTAGGACTAGGCAGGGCCAAGGGGAGTTTGGGGTTCAGCCTTGGCCGGGGGTCACTGAGTGGAGGCATCACCTGACTTTAGGGGAGGCCGTGGCTGGAGAGAGCCCGGGGGACCGGAAGGCGGGGGAATGGAGGGTGGGGCTCGGGGGACAGCCCGGTGGTCCGCCTGCTCTGGCCAGTTCCCCGTGCTCCCATCCGCCCCGGGGACTCAGCCATGTGGCTGGCAGCCCCTGGCCACAGAGGGCCCAGGCAAAGCCCACTGAAAGGGCAGAGACCAACCAGGGTGGCCCCGGGTGGCCCCTCTCAGGGGGTAGGGGTGGGCGGTGCTGCCCCGCAGACCCGGGCCTCTTCATGAGGTGGGGCGCAGCTCGCGGTGAGGACAGGTGGGCCGTGGGGGGCCTTGGGCTAGGCGGCCCCAGTGGTGGCAGGGGTCTTAGTCTGCTGTGCCGCCACAACGAAATACCACATGCTGGGGGCCTGAAACAAGACATTTATTTTCTCATAGTCCTGGAGGCTGGAGGTTCAAGATCAGGGTGGCAGCCAGTTCGCTTCAGGGCGGGGCCCTGCTTCCTGGCCTGCAGACGGCCGCCTTCTCGCTGCGCCCTCACAGTGAGGGCGGAGAGGTCTGGTCTCTTCTTCATGTAAGGACACTGGCCCCATCACGGGACCAGCCCTAATCTTCCCCCACCTCCTGATTCCATCGCCTTGGGGTTAGGGCCTCCACACGTGAATTCTGGGGGGACACAAACATCTGTTCCTTAACAGTGGGGTTCCAGGTCCCCACCACACCGCGGGGGTGGGGCTAGCTGACCCTGTGTCTGATAATTCTTCCCTCCCACTCAGCAAGGAGGCCTGGGCCGCGGCCCCAGGACAGCTCCGTTTCCGCCGTCCCCACCCTGGCAGGAGGCCCCTTGGCCCGTGGCGACGATGTGCAGGGGCGCAGGGGTGCGGAAGCCCAGGCCGCGGCTGCGTGCCCGGCTCGGGTCATGTTTACCCTCGGGAGCCCAGTGCCAGGGCCCCCACCCGGCCTCGCAGCCTTAAGTTGACTCGGCCTCCAGGATAAACACCCATTCAGCCACACAAGGCCCCTTTGTCCAGGACGAGGCTCCTGGCCCAGGACGCTGCCCGGCGGCCCGTGTCCTCAGCGTGGCCAGCCGCCCCTTGTGGCCTTCTCTGGGCAGATGCCTAGCCTGGCTCAGAGGCCCCAGCTGGGGAGGGGGCCCTGGGCGGCCCTTGGAGTGGCCAGAGAGGCCAGGCAAGCTGAGCTGCGTGTGGCGACTGCCCCTCCAGGCCCTGTCAGAGCAGCCCTGACCCCCCAAACAGCAGTGCATACCTGTAGCCTTGTGGCCACCCTGCCCTGTCGGCCAGGAACGTCCGAGGGACGAAAGGACGCCGGGGAGCTGCAGCGGGGTGGTGGGTGGGCCCAGGAGCTGCAGGCCCCGTCCTGCCCCTTGCCCACCCAGGCCCCTGTGGCTCCCCCCAGGCAGAAGAGGGGCTGCCCCCGCCACCCGCATCCCGCCGCTGGCCACTGGTCCCTGTGAGCTCAGCGTCTTTATCTGTGAAACGTCCTCCGCAGGCTTTGGCGGCTTCTCAGCTTCTAAACTCCCCCCGGGTGGGGGTGGAAATGAGATGGGGGCTGCCTATCCGGGAGTGGGGTGGGGGCCCCTGTGCTGAGGCAGGGGGTGAAATGGAGGTTCCTATGCAGAGAGGCGTGGCATGGGGTGGGAGTGGGGAAGGGGCTCCAGGGTTTGGGGGCGGCACACGGAGAGCAGGAGCCTGAGTCATTCTGGGGAGTGGGCCCAGCGTGATGAGGAATCACAGACCCCTGAGCAGAGAAGCCGGTCATCACAGGCAGCGGGCCTGCCTGCAGGAGGCTGAGGGGCGGCCTCTACGGAAGAGCACGCTTAGGCCTCGAGGGCCTCCAGCCTACTTTCCGGAGGGCCCAGTCCTGGGGCTGGCCTGGGCGGGGCTGGTGGAGGGCCCCCGGAGCCAGTGCCCCAGCCACGCCCGACTGGGTCGGGGGTGTCAAGGATGCTCCTCCAAGCAGTGGCTTGTAGGCAGAGAGGTGACGGCCCTGGGGCAAGGTCCTGCTGGCCCACCCGGGGGGTTGGCCCTGACGCCGGGAGCCACGACAGGTTCTTGAGCACACGAGGACTGCGTGTGACTCTGGTTAGAAAATGACCCTCTGGCAGTTGTACTGAGAATGGGGGCAGTTGGGAGACCCAGAGGGGTCCCAGGAGGCCGGACAGGAGGTGCCACAGGGACAGGGGAGATGGTGGGGCTGGAGCACAGGGGGCCGTGGGGGCCTGGAGCCTGGGCTCCTGCCTGGCCTTTTGTCACTCTGAACGTGCTGAGGACAAATGCGCTGTGTGCCCCTGGGGGGCCACGGAGTGGGGGGGGGTTCCTCAGTGGGACTGCCATCAGGTTCCTGTCCCTGTGCTGCAGCCCATGGCCGGCAGCGACCCCTGGTGGTGGCCAGCATGTCGCTGTGGCTCACCGCGGGTCCGACCCTCACTGGCGCTGGGATGCTGGGGGCGGGATGCGCGGGGGGCGGGATGCTAGAGGGCCGACGCGGGGGGCTGATGCGAGG